GTAGTTCTGTCGTCAATTCCACATTTTTGTTTTCTGAATACACACACACACACACACACACATATATATATATGTGTGTAGTTCTGTCAATTCCATATTTCTGTTAAATATTTTCATTATATATATATATATATATATATATATATATATATATATACTGAAAGACAGATTGAGAAGGAGGAGGGGAAGAGAATAAAATGTAGATATAGAAATTGAGACTGCATGTCTCAATGTGAAAACGCCATTCATAGCAAAACGTTCTAAATATAGCTTAATCAAAACAATACCTACCTACCTATATATATATATATATATATATATATATATATATACATATATATCTGTGTATGTATGTGTGGGTGGGTGTGGGTGTGTACAGTTCATAAATATGTATATATGTGTATGTATATAGTGTTAATTTGAAATACTGTTTTTTGAAGCCAAAATTGCTTGTTCTTCAGTGGTTTGCGGATAGAGATAGAGATGTATTTAAGTCCAGCCTGCTTTGTGGTAGAGTTCTGAATATCAGAGATAGAGACCAACGAACCAAGTGAAGAAAGAATAAAAGAGAGAAAAAAAGAAAAAAAAAGAAAAAGTAAAAAAAGACAAGGGGAGAAGAAGAAAAGAAATCAACAATCTGTTCCGACGAGTGGTTATCCGTATATAGCTATGAAACGCTGAAGTAAACATGAGTTAAATAAAAAAAAGATAAACTATAGTTTTAATGTATGTTAATTCATAGATAAAAGTGCTCAATATCAGAGATAGCATATGTAAATAAAAAAAATGAGGGCACTGAGATCAAAACCGAGTGGCGACAGTCTGTTTCATGTTTGAACGCAATCTTCAGGACTCGTTCAGGATTTTGATAGCCTTTCTAGAAACGACGTTTCAGATCCTCTCTCTACCACTATCTATCGCGCTCTACCCCCCCATATATAGGTGGCTAAGTGATGGTTAGTTAATTCGGGTTGTGTTTCGTAAATTTGTGCCAGATTAAAGTAGTAATATAACTACGCGAACCGCTAGCCAAACATTCGTGGGAATTGAAAAAGTAAAAGTACTACTAATGTTTTCTCTTACAATTTATGACATCACCGGATATATACCCAAGAGGACAACGAACGATTTTTAGCATTTTATGACAATGAAAATTAAAACTAAATGCAACACAAACGTCTTCGTCCAATTTTCGCAACATTTATTTAAACCATTTTAACTAAAAGATTTAAAAAAAAGAAATGAATGGATAAACAAAGAGAAAAGAGGAACAGAGTATAAGGACAGAGAGAGAGAAAAGAGGAGCAGTCAGAGTTCAATGAGAAGGAGAGAGGAGGAGGTTAAGAGATTTGATTGGATAAAGGTGAAGGCAACCAAAAATAGAAGAAATGGGAGAGTAAAAGTTGGAAGTGAATGTAAAAAAAATACGAAGAAATGGTAAATAAAGAATGTAGAGAAAAAAAGCGTCGAAAGAGAAAGTAATAACGTTCTTGGTAATCGACCGTTTCTATTTCTTGAGATCCAATCGGGGCGCGTCTGCTGAGAAGCCCTCGTAGAAAAGACATCCTACTGACAGATCAGATACCCACCGATTATAGATGCTGAACCTCGTCAGAATCGATTTGTCTGACAAAGCCGATCGGACTCAAAGCCAACAGAGATCCGCTTTTTGCTTGACTTCACACAGACACCGAAATCTAGCTTAATGTTCACAACGGTGGACTCAAAAACCAGAGTTTTTAACAAAGTATCGTTAATCCATGGGCGACTAGTCGTGCGATAATGGCCTTACTCGTCATTACTGCTGTTCACTGAGTTCAATCCTTACCGGGTGTTTCATACAGGTAACTTTTTGCCAATTCTAAAAGGAACGTGGTAATCTCTATGAGATATCTCCTGTTGGGTAATGATTATTGAACTGGTTTGCTCACCTATTACTGTTGAGTAAGGATTTCGATTCTCAATGGCCACGCCATCTTGTGGCCTTTTAGCAAGGTAAACCAAACATAACCAATAACACATTTCGTTAATTCGCTCTAGCGAAAGAACATTTTCACTATTAAGATATTCGCATCTTTGGAAAATGTAATATTCTTTTGAAAGTTGGCCATGGCAAATTGTAGATATGATCGCTATATACAGTGACATTAAAGCAACAAAACACAAATTAACAATTGCATAAAACTCATTCTTTGAAAAAGTAGGAAGAAGCAGTTAATTCTTTTTTTCTATGTCTCTTATATCATAGCATAAGCACAATTCCAGAGAAATGGTGACAATAACAATAATAATACTGAAATACTTCGTCATCCTACGCGAATTTTGAATTCGGATATGGCCTAAAAGTAAAATGTCACGTTAGAGATATTTACTAATCTTATCGTTTGGGTGGGTGTATCTGGAACTGGATCGCTCTTACTCCACAACAGTAATAATCTACAAAAGAAGCTTATTAAACACTAGTTCCACCATAGAGTACAAAAATATCACATTATATGATTGTCTACTTAACAGCGAAATAACTCGTAACCACAATTGTTGAGATGCTTTTAATATAAGTAAAGATAAATAATTAATAAAACTATGTTATTCTTATGTCATAGGAATTAACGACATCTACATTCCTCTCTTAACACATATACACTATTTGGGCGCATTTGCCTGCCATTTTTAGTTAAACTCCTTGATTATCTTCCAGTAAATTACAAAATGTAATTTGCATAACAGTGTCTATATTTGAAATGTGTTTAACGGAGAAGGCATTGTGCTTAAAACTGATCCATGCCATTTCTAGACGCGTAAATGTAATAGTATTTCTTCTTTTTACAATCCCTGCCAGGGTTGTTTTGCTTCATACTTTGTACCGTTATTATATTATGTCACTAGATTAAAAGCCCTACTCCGTGCGAGCTAGCTACTACGGAAGGCTACTTGGGTCTCCGTCGCAAAACTAATGAGACCTCTGGTCCAGTTTTAAAAAAAAAGAAAAAAAAAGTAGTTTTGAAAAAATAACTTTGAATTCGTCAATTCAGTCCATGGAACTTCAAAAACTCACTTTAACTCTGATTCGGGCTATACGTCCAATTTCGGCCAAAAGATCGATTTGAGCCGAAATTCCAATTCAGGCTGAAGAATTGAGTTCTTCAAATCACAATCTCCGTAGAACTCCAATCGGGTTGAGATCTTCAAATCAAAGACTCTGGCGACCTTCAAAACCTCACGTCATGGAATTTCTCATTTTAATTGATTCCTTGGTATTTTAAAGAAATAAAATTGATTTCCTTAATTCACAAAGTTTTGGAGATATTTCACAAAATGTTTGTTAATTTAAACTCAATAAAAATTAAAAACATTTAGAATAACTAATTCTTTTCAGTTACTTTAAAATTTGAATGTTTGACTGTTCCCTTCTCATCTAAACACAAACCCCAATGCTAGGTGTTCAGGCATCAAATGAAGGGAACATTTTCAATCCAGGGACACCTTGATTCTAGAAAGGTATAATACGTCTATGTAGAGCAAATATTGCCTGAGTTAGAGAAGCTTCAGACACACGGACAGACACAATTTCACAATTTGCCATTTATTTATTTAAATTTATTGCGTTTTTCTATTAAAGCTTTTATTTGTTACATTGTTCGTGTAATTAATAAAATGTCTTTTGTTTGTGACTCAACTCAAATTATACTGAATAGAGTTTATACTCAGTGTGTGTTTGAGTGAACATTCTTGTCTTTTAAACAGGGAAATTAATGCTTACCGGCCTAGTGATTCAAATCTTGATAAAGAAAATGTCCCTTCTGACAGAAATCGGACATTTATAATAACATTTACCGAGAGTCTAGTGCTGAAGAAATTTCTTCCCAATTTCTCTCCATGAAGACCGTGACTGTTCTATCTATCTATCTATCTATCTATCTATCTATCTATCTATCTATCTCTAGCTAGCTAGCTAGCTAGCTATATATATATATATATATATATATATATATATATATATATATATATATTCACACACGTGGAAATAATTGTATTAGGTTGACTGCGTTTCTCAAAACAAATCGAATCCTAGGTTCTCGTGTTACAAATTGTGGTACATACTAATACCTCTTGCATTCCAGTAAAATGTTTCATTAACACTAAAACTTTGTTAGGACACCGATCGTTGAGTGGTAGTCAGAGAGTTAAAATATATATTCTTATTCAAATGTAATGCAAACTGAACATAGAACCTCAAATCATTTGTTATTGAAAGAGTAGTCTTGATGTAAGTAAAAAATGTGTTTATTGATTTTTAAAATGTTAATAAAAATTGAAAATTAGGCACAGCAGGTGTGTACAAAAATCCTCTCATTTGCTAGTCCATTGATCTAACCGACATGATTCATATTTTTCTTTGTAATGAAGGCCATCTGCAGCTGAATAATAGAAAGGCTGCAAGTCGAATGCGAACTTGAAAGACGGCAAGAAGCTTAATTCATGTGTTGTGTGTTCGATTTGGCAGGAAGCCATTATGTGAAGATGTAGTCAGGCCTCCCGTTGGAGATGTCGATTCGTTGTTCGATTTCTAGAAAGATGCAACATATGCTTAAGACTGATAATATCCCATTGAAATCCTTATGAAAAGACAAAGACATTAACAAGCTGAGATTGACTGATCGATTTATTGATTGATTGATTGATTGATACAAACAAAGAAGGGAGTCATGCTATAGATAGGCTCCCTGCAAACTAATGTCAATTACAATTACCTGTGTAACAATAGGATCTCATACGTGTGACCTTGTACCCGACCGAGATAAGAATATTACATATCTTAGTCCCAACTATAACATAAATTGAAGATTAATTTGTGGTTTTAGTAAACTCGATCCTTACTTTGTGACTCACTAGTCAAGCCTTGATCCAGTCTAAGTCAAGCGTAGTAAATAACTACTGATATTCTGATATAAATACTCAGATAAGAACAGACCGAGATAGATAGATAGATAACGATCAGACTAAAATAGATAGATAGATAGATAGATAGATAGATAGATAGATAGATAGATAGATAGATAGATAAGGATCAGACTGAGATAGATAGATAGATAGATAGATAGATAGATAGATAGATAGATAGATAGATAGATAGATAGATAGATAGATATGAGCGGGCTGTCACGGACAGAGAGAACACCTTTTTTCAGAGATATATACATGTCGATAAATAAAAATAAAAAAAAAACGGATTAAGAAAGAATCAAATATTTAATGTAGAAATTGAATGCCTTATTTACACAACGACTTCAGAGTAAATAATGAACGATACGGCTATATCTTTCCTCTACAGACGTATTTCCTATTCGTTTAATAGTTAACATAGAATAAAAATGATATAAAACGATTTCGATCAATATAAAAATGGAAGTCATCGATTTTTGTAATAATAATTTCTATGCGATTTCTCAAGAGTACCCGTGTTCAATCAACGCTGGAAGTCACGTTTCGTAAAAGACATAAATGGTCAGATCATTATATGAGTGCGCAGATTCCTTCTCGATATCCAAAGGTTCGGAAAACGTTTTAAAAAAATAGAGACAGCAATTCTTCTGTAAGATTAAAGCAACAAAAAATAACAAAAAACGTTAATTAATACGAGACTTAACAGTAATTATGGCAAAATATCTTTGACGTCTATTTTTGTTGGAAATGCAAAATATTTGTCTGCATGTTTCCTTCGTTTTCCAACTGATGACGCAAGACTTAATCAATTCTTCCTATTACTGCTATTCAAATACCATGTTATTGAAGACAAAAACAATCATAGCTCTCTACAGCTTCGTTTTCTTTTAATATCTGTAGACTAACTACCAACCAAGGTTGGAACCATAAATAACAAACTTGAAATGGCAATTATGTTTCAAAACTACAAATATGTCTCCTTAGGCAATGCTAAACTACTGGCGAGTGAAAGATTAATTTAATTTCAAAGCAGAATACTTTAAAAATAGGTTAGTGTGCTTTGCCGTGATTAACCAATTGAATGTGATCTATTCTAAAATCATATTCACTGGAATATTTTTTTTTAATATAGGTCATGACACGAAGTTGTCTGCATACAAATCCTCGACAATTTCCTCGCCCGAAAATAAGTGTTGTAGATTTTGGAAATATTTTTTTTATATTTTAATATTTAATGTCAGTATTTTTTTTCACTATTTGCTACTTTGACTTTCTTTTATTATTCTTTGGTCTTTTTCAAGTTCATTGAATCATGTAGTTCTATGTTGGCCTCTGAGATTTTCTAAATTATGCCGTCTTAGAATTTATAACATTAATTTCCAAGCCGGAGTTAGATTTATTCATGATTTCATGCATAGAACTTTTTTCTATACTAAAATAAAAAGTCTACAATACCTGCTTTTTTTAATGATTGTTGGTATCAGTCGTCTAAATATTAAAACAATTCCCACTTATTATTCGATTAGGAATTGAATTCATCTTGTTCATATTAAATTTCATATTTTGTTTACTGTAGTTATTTCCCTTGCACAGGCAGCATTCATTTAACTAAGACCATGCGCTACTGTTCCAAGATATAAAAGCAAAAGATGAAAACATCGACATTAATAATGGCCAAAATGTATTTAAAGACTCACATGAGTAAACCTAATTATAGTAAAGACTTGAGAATATAACAATTTCATGCATACAGTCAGTTTTACGGTATGTCCAAACTAAAATAAATATATATATATACTCGACTCTCCCGTCGAATACGACGCATGAGGGTCAAGCAGATCGGTTCCTAGGAAACTGACAGTCTGACACTAGCACAATGTTGACATACAAGACTGCTCCGTGCCAGAGGGTCCCCAAACGAACCTCCGCAGGTTTTGAGTTTTTCAGAGTTGTCATCCAAGGCTATAGAACTCAGTCTGCCCTGTTGGAGGGAGAAGAAGAGGATTCACGCCTTTGGAAAGGCGTGAATATTAGCACGTAAGTGAATGTAATGGATTCGACTGGAATTCAAACTTGGCTCTCCGATTCCTCAAGCCAAGCCGCTATCCATTACTCCACCGTGCCTCCTATATATATAAAAGAAAAAGAAAAGGCTAAAATGCCAACCAACCACGCAACCCGGGTTTCGATCGTAAGAAAACTACCCCAATATATCAGAACACTGAAAGTGAAGGGGTAAAAGTGACTTCAGTTTCCTTTATATTTGTGCGAGTATATATATATACACACAGAGATAGATATAGTCATGAACAGACAGACTGTTTCACGGCTCTTCTGTGTGGCTAGGTATCCGATTGCTTCAAACCGGGATCGAAACCCGACAGATTCGGCATCAGACCGAGATCCTACCCTTAGTCTATCGTCGCACAGCAGAGAAAAAGGGAAATTTTAACGTTTTCTATATGAAATACACCAGTGGCCAGGAGAGCTTAATTCAATTCAAGAGCAATGCCTTAATAGCAGCACGAGCCACAATATATATATATATATATATATATATATATATATATATATATATATATATATATATATATATATATATATATATATATATATATATATATATATATATATATATATATAAAGAATGTTGTTTACGCCTAACAAAACATGTGACGAGTGAACAATTAGTCAACGAATGTGTTCAAGGCGAACGAATTTTGCAAAAACAATCTGAATAGAGCAGAAAATAGTTAATATATAAATAACAATTCAAATGATTTTATCTCCCGATATGAAATATGGACTTGAAACCCAGGGAAAGACAAATCTACTGAATTCATTGACAGATATCGCATTTATTATATATTTGAAATACCTTACATAAACTAGCGTTAATTATTAACGTCAAGTAAATTTTAAATTTGTTCGATCTTAAAAAAACGTGACAAAAGCAAATGTATTTTATACTTTTACCATTAAAGAAATCATTTGTATAAAAATTTTAAATAAAAATCTTAAAGTAAATCTTTCCAATGGTGATAAAGCTTATCAAATATTAGACATTTAAATTATCGGAATATTCAATATTACTGATTGTATACATGGGTAAGTATATTTATTTATTCATTATTTATAATATGTAATTTGAACTAATATGATCTATAAAACTAAAACAACCAATAGCAGATTTCCAAACAGAAACAAAAGCCATGATGACGGTTGAGGACAACCGAAAGCCCTCGACAAAAAGCTATCGATTGGGATCCTATTTTAACAACATAGACCCAAACATTAAAAAAACTTGCAAGGAAGTAAGAAAAACTGAGAAAAGAGCTCTATAGTCTTTAATAACACATACCTGAATATATATATATATATTTATATATATATAATCTGTATATATATATATATATATATATATATATATATATATATATTGTCATCCACAATTAGACTGTTTCGCTGTATCACAGCTCATCAGTGTGGCTAGACGTCCAGTTGCCTCTAGCTAGGATGGAACACGACTGAATTGGCATAAGTCGAGGGATTCTATCACTAAGCCGTTGGCTTAGTGTTAGAATCCACTATATATATATATATATATATATATATAATCCAATATAGAATCCAATATATATATATATATAGAGAGAGAGAGAGAGATAATTTTCGTGGTAAATATACACATACATATGCAAAATATATAAATATATATACATACATGCATACACATACATATATATTTTTTTGTATAAAAAAATAATTCCAAGAGGACAGAGTCCAGGTAGAACTCAATGTCCAGGACAGAGGAAGGATATAATAAAAAGGCTTAAACACTAATATTCCATGGTTATAATTTATTCCATTGGAATCGTAAATCGTAGTGTTTAAGCCTTTTTTATATATATATATATATATATATATATATATATATATATATATATATATATATATATATATAACCTATTGGGGTAGAAGATCATTATTCAAACTTATATTTTTAAATATAACAGACAAAGAATGTCTATTATGTTTGATCATGAGCCGTTCTAAACTCCGTATATTTGCCTTAATTTCGGGTGAAATTAAAGAAAAAATTGTTCGACATCCAGATATTTTTTAAGCTGTTCCATGATCTAAGCTTTCGACTCACATGTGCCATCTTCAGAGTGGTTATGCGGACATTTAAAGAAAGATATTCACCATCAATATGGTTCTGTTAATATTTCAGTCTCTCACGTGATATGACGTCATAGAGCTGCATCATGAATTTACGACATGCGTCTGCTACTCCGCGACTGTTATAGTCGCATAGCAGTCTTGTATGTCAACATTTTGATGGAGATTTGAGTGACAGACCAGGGTATTAATACGATATTTCGCCCAAGTATGTGACGTGAAGACTGGGCAGTTGCATTGTCACAATGAATGCGACGGTCACACATTTATGAAGTTCATTCATTGCCGATTGAGTAAGACCACGGAAAAATATTTGTTATTCATGCGTTTTAAAATCTCCTCTAATTTCTTGCCAAGTTACATAAAGATAGCCTAACAGGTCCCAAAAAAAAAAGCTAGAGACGTTGTTCCTACTGTAATCTGGACTTGTAATGAAAACAGCCATGGCGCATATCCTGAGACCATGAATTAAATTTCTGTATGTGGAATTAGTAAATATCAATCACTTCAAAGAATTGCAGCAGTTGTAACGAAAATTTAGTCCAGGGAATAAGGAAATTGAACGTAGGATAGTCTGCGCCCAAAGGTAATGTCTCCCTAACAATTGCTACAAAACCAAAACATTCATCTAAAAAGTCGAGTCATGTTCTTAAATAGACTCAACAAATCGAGACTTTAATATGGATACCATGCATTCTACCAAACAGATTCAGAAATATCTAAACAGTCAGCTGTGTGCAATCGTTTCTTTGAATCGATGGTTAAAAATTGTTTCGAGCGAGAATCAGAGGAATACCTAAAAATATAAGCAAGACATTTAATATCATTAATTTTAACATGTGTATTTGTGTCTTGCAAAGGCTTACATTAGTAGGATTTAAAGTAAGAAAAAACACAGAAGCAGTTGTCTGCTTGACGAGATTATCGGTCACTTTTCAGGCTTCATCAAAAGTCAGCCGCTCTATAGTGATGGTTAACAAGCTAATGAGTTCAATCTGTAGTGTTCGTACGGTAAATTACGTATTTTGCTATATTTGACTAATCTTAGGGAAC